ACACCAAACAACAATGGCATGCAAAGCTCATACAAGTTTCGGACCTTTACAAGGATCAAATTTGTAAAACAATATACTTTAGAGTCATAATGCTGTAATTAAAGCGCTCGAACTGAAAACTGCTCATTAGGTGCTCATAAAAATTCATATCAAACACTTTGTTACAAATCAACGTGTCTATCTAAACAAATATCAACCTTAACTGTTAGCAACAAAGGAATTGGTTTTTGTTGACAAATATTGTGATTTGAAGAATGCTATTTGTAAGCAGTAAAGGTTTATAAATGATACGGTTCAACATAAAATGTAGCGTCCGAATGTTATTAAAGATATTATATCTTCAAAGATCAAAGGGAGACACGTTAATTTTTTTATTGGGGCAGAAACAAAGAGTATTTAAAACATGATAAAACTTTTTAATAGATCACGAACATCATTGTAAAGCTGGTATTGCATTAATGCAAGATTTATTTATTGAATGATGAATAAAAAAAAATGTGATATTTTTTCTTGGTTACGATTCAAATAAAATGCCAAGCGTCTTGTATCACTAATCACCAGCACCAAATACCGGCTGTCATCGAAATTATTGAATTTTCAATAGTATACGAATATAACAAAATAAAAAAGGAGAATATTTAACTCCTTTTTTGTTAATAATATTATCCATTTTTATATAAACCCATTTATATATATAAATTAGCAATTTCCGACAATAAGAAATATGTAGCACAAGTTTTGGGCATCACTGCATTTTATTTTGGGCATCACTGCATCTCGACTTTCACAAGTGCTTGTAACAGCTTAGACTGAGTAAATAATTTTGATTTTGATTTTTTGATATTTACTGAATTCACTTAGAAAACATAAAATCGAAATATGTACACCTAGCCCAATATTAATAACTGTAAAGCGTAGTTCCGTAGACTTTGATTATAGTTTTATATTATCTGTGACTTTGATATATTAATCCACGTTTTGGCGGGAGATTACCATCAGATATGTATTTTACAAAACTCACGGAACACTTGAATGACGTCCGCTAGTGATGTGTCACAATCTGAACCGAATAAATAAAACATAACGACCCAAAAAAAAAACGTGGAAATGAAGAAACAGTTGATTAATTTATTCAATATTTTGATTTAAAAATGACAACAAAAGTTGTTTTTAGCCATAAAGACGAAATTCAAAAAAGATTTCGTTTGGAACAGAATATTAACAAAAGAAAATTTAACACCATAACTCATTCGTTTAGAATTTTTAATGTTTTCTCATCACTATTCGAGTTGATTAATTCCACTTTTATTTGTATAAGAATCAGCCAGCTGCGAGCTACTTTGATCCCGATACGCCAAGCGACGACAAAATGTCTCTAGAATTTTTCACGACTGTGAAAACACGACGAAAATAATCGATCATAATCTCTATGGAATTCCGTTGAAACGAGAAACCTGTTTTATCAACCTCTTTAAAGTGAACAAACAAATTATTTGAACTTTGAAAATTGAATGAGAAATGTTAATTTGTTTGAATTTGGAATGTTACAATCAAAATTTATTTTTAATTTTATCTTCTAATCTATTTTGTATCCAACACGACTTACAAAAAGGTTTATTTTTTAAAAGAAAACTTCTTTGATTCTATTTATAGTGCTGTAATATTTAAAAGCTTTAAAATAAACTATGATTTCTCTAAATGTCACGTTCAATTAATAACAATAATAAGTAATAAGACAAAATGAAATTACGGTAAGAGAATCCCAAAACCAGTAGCCGTAACCGAAGTGATTGCATTGCTTGTGTAAACTGAAAGACGTAGTTAATTACGTGGTACCTACGTTATGTCAATGAACGTGGGATCGTCGCTTGATATTGAGGCGGCTTACAAAAGTGACTGTTTATTTTATACATTGACTCTTTATTATTATATTTTCCGCCACTTCGCCCGCGTAAATAATAGCCTGTGTCACCCGCAAATGATATAGCTTCTAGTAGGGGAAAGAATTTTTAAAACAGTAAAGTAGTTTGAAGCCTATTTAATACTAACAAACGATTAAATCTTTAATTTTTATGAGATCAGTATAGATGAGAGGCCAACTCTGAATACGAAAAAAAGGAAAACCGGAAAAAAAGGAAAACCTAAGTTATGGTCAATTTCACATTATTTCTCATCTTATCTATTAACTACTCAAAAAAATTTAACGAAGGAAAAAATCTAAGACATAAAAATACTGCATACTTCCTACAATTTCCTATTTATTGTTGTGTAATTTAACAATTTTTTTTATCTGAATATTTTTGCGACGGTGCCAAAGTCTGATGTGATGGCCTTCCCTTCTGCATTGCGTTTATCCTGACTACTGATGGAGGCCGCACCGTGACTAGCAAATGGCACAATATTGGTACAACATGACCGACAAAATTCGTACTAGGTACACGATCTGGGAAATACTCGAATTTCTATCAGATGTCCTTTAGTTCCATCTGCATGTTACATCTTAACAACTCTATATTTTGGACTGGTGAATTTTAGTGTATTTATCTATAAGATTTATTTATGTATATTTCTTTGTAATTACGTTAAAGAATAATAGTTATTATTTTCAGATTCACTAGCAAGTTTTTTTCCAAATACAGTATTAATACTATAAATTAGCATTTTAGCATATTAAACGCTATTGTTATGTTATTTTTTTAATTGTGCTTATATGATTGGAGGGCATGTTGGTGTTAAAGTTCAGCTGTAAGCTTTAAAATCTTTGTAATAACACGAAATTTAAAAGAAGCAATATATGCTTAATGTTTATACAGTGTTCTAAAATTTTAATATAGTGACATCTACCAATTCATTTAGAACTTTGACAATTTCTAATAAAGACAATGATGCAAAATTATTGTGGAGCGTCACGAATCGGCCGCGTAACCTGGTACAATCAATCTTCACCCCATCCTAATCGACGACCGCTTCACACCATCAATCTTTGCTATTTAAAGCTCTCGAAACGTATGTGACAGTGCTCATGTCGCTTCTATTTGAAGCAATGAACGTAGAACAAATATTATTCTAATTTATTCGTGTCTACGGTTTTTAAAATGACATTTAATATCAATTGATTTAATTTTTTTATGTAATTCTTTAAATTAATCTAATACAAAGAAAAAAGGATAATGAAATCAAAACTTGACTAAGCAGACTTAATTTCAGATATGCTTATTCTGTTAAAAAAAGCAGCCTTAACTCTACGTCGAATAACGTACTGTGACAGCATAGAACTTCGATGAAATAAAACCTCTATTAATTTTCGAAGAAGGTTTTATTTGATTGAACCGAGTTCAAAGCTGTTTATAACAGAATAGACCTGTTATATTCATTAAGTTATATCATAAAAAATTGCATTCATATAAATTTTAAAGCGAAGAGGTTTTTGTATACGACTGCCCAAAAAAGAATAGAGTTCCATTATAATTTCACTTGTAGCACGTGCAGCCGCTGAAATCATTAACTATTCCTCAGCCAGTACCAGCACCGATCAAACACTCAAATTCAAACCGTCCCCGCCCAAAAATATCGAGTCTCTTCTAATCAATCAAGCTCAGATTAACACTCATCTGTCCGCCAGACAAAAACAAATGAGCTCCGGAACAAAGATCGAATTAACCACGAACCACGTTTAAGACACCAATTAAATCTCTAACAAAGCCTATCTTCAATGAGAAGAGGAAAAAATTTGATAGATCAACTCTTTAACCTAATCTTTCATCGGAATTTCACTTAACGAAACTCGACTTTACACATATAAACAAACGGTTCATTTTCAAGTTGACTTTCCGTGTGGTAAGCTGAGAAGGCTGTTGGCACAACATCTTATATCGATTAAACATATAATTAATCACGGGAAATGATTCCGAATGAGATGTTATTAGTTATACCACTCCCTATTAACAAGTGAAACAATAGCTTTTGGTAATATATGGTGTTCTAGATATGTAGCAACAAATCACATGTTGTTGGTGAATGGTAACATTATAGAAGTCCGTTATCTATCATCCCTTTGATATAAAAAAACGAATGATATCACTTTAAAAAATACTCAAATTCTAGATCGCTTAAAAGGAATACCAAGCCTTGAAAACATCTATAGCAAATAGTTCTTCCACACTTGTCCAAAACCTTGTTGTGTTTATTTTCAGTTTCTTATTAAACACCTCGTTTAACAATGCTTTCAAAATATAGAAACTTCTTGATTTACTTTACTCATTTTATGCTTCATATTAGTAATTTTAAGAGTAAGCACTCGAAAATGTCCATTACAAATTATATTAATATGTCTCGATATAAAATCAGCCTGTAGCTCTAAGGGGCGCCGATGGCCGATCAATCAGCTGCTAACGAGGTGGTCACGTGGTAACAGGCCTCATTGCCCTCCCTTATCCCTACAACTACAACTCTGTGCAACTCGAAAAGCTACATAAAAATATTTAAAAATAGAACATAACTCCCTGTTTCATTAAGTTTTTTTTTTGTTTTAATTAACGAGAGGCAGATAAAAAAGGTATTGAAAATCGAACCACCAATTCGCGATGACGAAGTGGCCAGTGTTTATGCGACGAATAAATTAGGATTACACTTCGATCAGACTCCAATAAATTCTAAACACAACAGTTCTCATTTACGATAGCAACAGATCAAAATCGAAACGGCAAAAAGCTAATCGATTCCGGAACACCCACCAAGCTAGGTACTATTACGATTTGATCAACATTTACATAATCGTTTGTCGCTTGCATTAAATTAAGGCACAGATTAACCGCTCGCTCGATCAAAACATGAAAAAACGACTATAGTTTTAATTTCTTTTTTTAACAGACGAAGACAGAGTGCAGAGAAGGCGCGGGGCGTGGCGGGCTTACTTTCATTACTCATGAGCAATAATAAATGATAAAACATTATTAATACGAAGAGATCAGTCCGAGTGATGTCGGCTCACATGTGCGAGATTAACCTGACTCGAATAAATTAATTCTACTAATTAAAAGTTTTATGTTTGCCCCTCTGGCATAACGTAAAAGTATCTTCACGTCGGAGCCTCGTTTAAGATTCACAAATTTTAATGCTAGAAACTGCAAACAATAAAATAAGTATTTATGGCGTATTTAACAAAAAAAAAACTTCCTTTATTGTTGGAATATTTATTAGTTTCTGGTGTTATCGTGTTCCGCGTAATAACAAGCAGAAGTTTATTGGGCACGCTTGGATATGATAAATTGAATAATAATTTATTACGTGCGAGATAAGATGCTGCTTGCTTCGATCGCGAAGTGAGATACACTCAACGTGTTGAGGGTGGTCATTACACCGCGTAACAGGGCCGTACTTCTAGTATTATTATAAATTTTTAAAGATAGTCATTCAACAAACATTTACTAGTAAAGTATAGTGGGCGCAGCGGGTAAATGATCGCATAGCAATTTCTTAAATTAACCCTAAAAGCTAATTTATTGAAAAGTAGAATTTCATTTCCAAAACAAAAACATATTCAGGTAAAAATTTACATATTTGCTGATGACGAAACCTTCTTTAATATGTTTAAATAATAATTTTTAAATGTCCATAGAATGCATAAAAGATTTTCGGCAAAAGATACGAGTATATATTAGTAACTGCGTTGCCTGAAGGCGCGTATTTCCAAATGCTACGAAGATGGAGTAGATAAGTTTGATGCATTTACATTGTAACTTTTAAGCTCCATAAAATAATAATTAACATGAAAGTTGTACAAATAAACATGTCAATGATGTCAATTTCTACTATACTGCAAATTAAATTCTTCTTGAGTAATTCTTCTCGTCAATTGGCATATATCAGCAAAAAGGTCTTACCTACCAGGTCACTGAATAACATTACATTAGATCAGTGAATTATTTGGCTATGATTAATGATTGAATAATTTGCCAAACTTGGAAAATATCAATGACGTCATATTAACCGAAAGTCAATATAATTCTTTATTCTACACTTTTAAGTTGATAAGGTGAGTACAAACATGATTTAAATGTATCTGAGATGAGATATAGCCAATAATAAGTTTCAACGTTTTTTTAAGAAATAACTCATTAATATATATTATTTACAAAATTGCTAGTCAAATAGCGTTCCGTTTTTCTTCTTCTAGAGATTTTGATTAAATGTTTAAGAATATACTTTAGTTTTTTTAATCCAAAAATTAATCTATGATTTGATTCGGTTACTATGAATGTTTATTTACATTTATCGCTGCTAATGTATTATTATGATTACAGTACTTAGCCTGACTAATCACAAGATGTTAATAACTATAAGATAACAATAACCACTGATTTGACTAACAACGAGACACTAGGTTTATAGCGACAATGATGGCGCCATTCACAACAAAGATCAATTAATGCCAGACAGAGATAGAGAACGATCCAAGACATATGTTAAAAAGAGACGGTTTCACGGTTATCAATCACGCGCCTGCGCACGATCTCAACGCCCGAGGCGATCGAACGATCTCCCGCTTAATTATTTCTATTATGATATTTAAAATATAATGATTATCTGTGATTATAAGAGCCATATGGCGAATTCCCACACTCTTTTCGTATGTAACACGTCTAATTCATAACTTTAATTAATACGAACTCATAAACAAGCGAGAAAGCAATATGAATGTAATTAATATCAGTCAATATGATTCATTCGATCGCATAAAATCGATAATCTCATATTAATACTCATTTAATTTTGTAAGAGACAATTTTATCTTCATTCCTACGTGAGCTTTGACCTGTAGCTTCCATTAATAGCTCGTTGTACTAAAATATAGTTTATCATAGAGATGTTATCACTGATCTCCACAATATAAAATCGTTTATTCAGTCAATGACTGATTTAAGTTACATCTGATTTGTATCTTGAGACAAATGAACTGAGAGCCGCTCATCCGAACCGTTTACTAGCAAACAACGGTTTTTGTTTAAACGGTCGTATGGTATCATTTCGATCGATGATCGTGAATGGGGCATTTGGGCCCGTGATAAATTACAAGCAATATCAATCGTTACAGAGGATCAATCAAAACATGTTTAATGTTCGATTTGTGGGAAAATGTACTTACCTCGCTTTTGCATGAAGGAGAACAGATCATCGAGGAATTCTTTTCGTTGTGGCTCGTCACTTATTTCGTACAACTGCAACAATCAAAACATATTTTTCTAAGATAACCGTGAAAACAATGAAATTCTTTTTACATTTTCGGTCTCAGATCATAGAAAGAATTGACTACGTCCATATTTCTATTCACTATTACCTTTACACAGTTTAGGTAAATAAGTTTTAAGTCATATTTTACACCGCTTACGCTCAACTTGAAATATATACATCATTGACATTGTACACCCTACTCGCACTGGTTTTCCCGCATTATTCTAAAGTTGACTGGTAGAGAATGCCTAAGGCATTAAGTCCGCCAATGTACTTATATGTGCACAAAATATTTAATATACAAAATATTAGATTTAGGTATAAACAATTGCTTAAAAAGTTATCGGTCGTCTTCGTCCAGGCGCCATGACGGTCTAAGAAACTTATAACGTTAAACATAGGTTATAAACTTGTGGGTAAAGTGAATATAGCCTCTTATAATCAGTAAATTAACAAAAACCCAAAATTATTACATTTCCGAGATTTTTACTTTTTTTTACAAGTTTATATACTGTTAATTGTATCTTTATCATGATTTTTTATCAAATATTTAAGACAATTATAAATATCAAATGACAAGGTACACTTAGTAAATTACTAAGTGTACCTTGTCATTACACTACATACTTCATTACCATGAAAAAGTTAACTGAAAATCTTCTTACGCTAAAATTTGTTTGCTACGAACGATTCAATAAGAAATTAGCATTCTACTCAGGAAACGACATTTAACGGTAAGTCAATTACCACGTGGACCCGCATTTCCGGAAAAAGACATACACTTTGCATTATAATTTACATGCATAATAAAATATTTTCATTTCATGCTCTAACAATTGCATTGTAATGTCGAATTAAAATTGTTACATTGTTTATTATATTGTATACTAAGTAAAGAATGTATTGTAGCTAATGCCGCTTGTTCTTGAATCAATAATTAACATCGATGGATCTATCGACATAACTAAAGCATGTTTTCGAGATATAAGCCGCCATCTTTGATCAGTGACGTTAGAATTCAACATCCATTGTAGCGTAATTTTATTATAGGCATACTAAATTATTATAATCTAATTCCGTTTACATTGGCACCAGTTACAACATCTTAAATTTGTGCAAAAATAATATATTCCGAATGCAATATATTTCTTTATTATTGTAATATTATAAAAAGGAAGTATTGATTTCTGTTTGCGTGTATTAAGTCCCAAAAATCACTGGACCTTCGTAATCGTCAATATTATTTTTTATTAATAAATTTTATAAATCAATTAAAAATACGTAAATTAAATCGACAAAATGGAATTAAAATTATATCGACAATAAGTAAGATGTCAACATCGAGCAGGTGGTATTCAATTATATTTATATGAATGTCGAAGCGAAGTAACTGTAAACGATATCGTGCGAACCCACAGCACACCCCACCGGGAGAAACTTGTCATTTCTAATAATTACTCCGGTATCCGGTAGTTAAACGTGCAGATAAAACAGTATCTTCGCCGATAAACGCTAAACGCTCGATTGGCTCAGAAATGGGCGGGAGGCGGTACTCAGGAACGTATTATAAACAAAAATTACTGTAGATACACAATAAAAAGTGGATGACATGTCGTTTCAGTGCAATAGCTTATGAGGTTTTATCGTTACATATATTGAATAAATCTTTTTTATTTCTTTATGAACTTAATTGTAACTGATATGTTACATATCGATAAATTAATCTCTTATTACCACTTCACTATTTCGCAGTTGGATATTCAGTTATTTACATTTACGATAGAAACTTTTAAAGTTAGTGCAATATTACTAACAGTTTAAAGTGAAAATCTCAAGAATATGCATTTACTATACAAAAGACTAATCATCCAACAAAATATGACATCATATGACAAACTAGGGATTAACCCGTTAAGCAATCATCCGATCGTCCGGTTCAGAGCAAAAGTGTCCCAAAGCTGTGAAGACACAAACAAGGCGCCGGGTCATACAGAACGGACATACATGATCAAACAGCGCACTATTTACATTGGTCGAACAATTACATCGGGGCACTTAGCGTTACGGCGAACTGGGCCGCGGAGACAACGAAACGCCATTTGACACTTCCTGTTTCCATCTAATATATTTGTACACACGACTCATTAAAGCATAGTAATGGATGCAAAGGGGTCAAGACGTGCGAAATAACACCTCTAACATCCGAGATACTAACAAAGGGAAAATCTATTTTTCTTTTCTAAGATATAAATCGACGTCGTACTAAATGCACTAATGTGATATGCTAACGCCGGGAACACATCGACCCGACGAGAAAATTGGGTGAGCTCAGGATTGCGTGTTCATAATATTTATTTATTTTCTTTAATATTGTAATGGATTGAGCTTTACCGTTAAAGTTCATGAAGTTGCAGGAATCGAACTGACTCACAAAAATTTGAACACACAAAATTGGTCGTCGAGTTGCGGTCGTCGAGTTTGATATTTCTTCAACGAGCGTCTGCCCGTTATAATGTTTGAATTTTTTGAGTTAAGACTAAAATAATAAATAAACGTTTTAGGAAAAAAATATGATAGATCACTGTACAAGTCATCACTATGACACATTGCCACTATCATTCTGATCATATAAAATTAAGTAGCCGATTGAAAATATGTATCGAGCTTTGATCCTTACTTAGCTTCACTGGGTAGCACAAAGTTTTACCAGTACAGGCAACAGCTATGAAAAAAATCATATTTTATTGTTTAAAATCCACATTTAAACTCAATTAAAATTTTAAACATTTATTAGAAGGTTTACAATCCTGTAAGAAAAATATTCACACACAAGTGCTTAGTGGTAAATATAGTAAAATTTTGTCTTTTACCCACGTAATATTACAAGGGTGCATTTCACAATGAACCGATATAAACATTTATTAACAACGAAGACCTTAAATCCGCCACACACGATCCTCATATTAAAAACTATGACTCTTCGACGGCCGCGACAGAGCGCGTAAACGATAAACAAATGAAACGCGCCCGTTAATAATTGGAACGATACGTTTTTTTTAAGCGGCGTTAATCGAAAACGTTCTGGTTGTGATTAATCGCGGGGGGGCGAGGCCGAGTCGACAGTGACGATCGCGAAGATTGATGTTGTGGGAGATCGCCTGTTGCTGCTATTAGGAGTCAAGCGAGCACCGTTCATGCTCGACTATTGACACTACACACCCCGGGAATGGCAGCCTTTTTCTCTAAACGGGATATTTGCAGCACAATTGAGCAGTTTTTTAATAAAAACAGTAAGATAATAAAAAAATTACCAGTATTTTTGCTGCGGAAGAATATATATATTTATATTACAAAGTGTAAAGTAGGCGCTTTTTCTAAATTTCTTAAGTTCGATTTTGCTACGAAGCTATGTACTAAAGTTAGTTTATTATACGACAACTGTTGAGTTAAAATACCATGTAACAACGTGTATATTATATGTAAACGATTATTCAATGCACATTTCGTTAATTTATTATCAAGTCATCTCTCAGTACTTAGTAGATTATTCAGTACAATTGTCACAAAACGGACGCTGGACAAAATATGAGATCATTTAATACGATGAGAACTATTCTTGGCAAAATGTTTCTTTGATATGTAAGGAATATTACCATAACAGGCTTTTAATGGTACAGTAAAGTTTAAACCAGAAATATAACTTCGTAAAAAAATATGGCAGGCGTTCGTATGAGAAAATAAGTAGTTCTATTTAAATTAACTAAAATATTAAAATAAAACCAAAATATTTAGTATACTTTGATAGGAAAAATGATAAGGCTAAATTATGAGCATATTTAAAGAATATTTTAAGCATATTTAAATATCGTATTATAATTAATAGTTTTAAATGGTCCTTGAAGACACGTTTATTTTCTAGTCCAAAAATGTTAGATCATTTGATTATATTACATTCAACTAAACTCTATTTACGTGAATTGCAAATGCGAGCCAACCGTAATATTTCTAATAAGACGGTAATTAACTTTACTAATAACTAAATTACCTATAGCTAATTAAATGTCTGATACAATGCAAACATTCGTTAGGCAACATCGTAATCTTTGCACGATCACGTTTATATCGAATAGTGTCTTCGCAATTAATATTTCTAAAATCCTTTACTTTCAAATAACTTAAACGTTCTTGATTAAGTTATTTAAATAATTGTAAATTGTTTTATAAATATGCGTTTTATTTAAGTTTATAATTTCTCTAATGTCGTTTTCTACTTCGGTACCAGCTCCGTTTATTTTATTCCCTACAAAAAAAGAGTTTAGTATACGGTTATCACTTGCACTATGCCATGCTCCGACCCCGTGTCGCCCACCACGCGTCAATATTTGAATCACAAAACGCCGCTAAGCCGCGTAATCTCCATTGTTGTGAACCAATTACTGCCTCTCCCCTTCCGCTCCGATGAATATATAAATATTGTGAAAATATCATTGTAATAATAACTCGATACGGCTGAATTATTTTCCCAGAAAATCGGACGACAATAGTTCGTAGTTCTTACATAGAACCGTTGCGTTTTATTTCACCATTCATTTTAGTTTACAAATGTCCATGCAACAATCGTGGTGGTTGTAATCTTCACACTAAGAATAATACTTTATTACATGCAAAATATGCAAATAATTTATTTGCATATTTTTCTCAAAAATTCAGATGATATTTACAAAGATCACATAAACAAGCTGAGTTTTTATAGATAGTAGAGATGGGTTGAAGACAGTGCGTATTCGGATTTAACTGATCTTCGACGAAACAATACTACTAATAATTAAATACCAAAACTAATACAAATTCAATCTATGAATCAATGGTTAAGATAATGTCTTAAATTAATGACATTTTTAATTTTATAATAATTGTGTAATTGATGTCCTCAAAGCAGAACGTTTCTTTTACATTTAGGCAAATAGTAAACAATTTCCAATCAAAAAATAATCGAAATTTTCGGATAAAACTCTAATTCAGATCACAAGTAACCGAATTTAGACTACAATTCCTCTGTAATATTAGTGACCTGTGTTTTCAGGTTTCTTACGAAACTCATATCAGGCACATACTAGTGCCACGACATTAGTTTTGTTTCATACTTATCTGTTTAAGTATTAAGTTTTGGAGATAAATAAATTATTATTATTTTACTGCTTTAGTCTAGATTTAAATCGAATGTTAAGCCAAAAGTCAAATTCAGTTATACTCACATTCCATCCTTGGTAGGTAATCTAACAATATTAACATTCGATTTTACGAGCACATTGCATATTTTACGAGTTATAAGCGATAATCATTGCGTTTGCCGATGTGCCCTCGATGATTGCAAAGACATCTATACAATTTTATCGTTTCGACCTTACATACAAATAAATTGAATTGTTTGCAAAGTTGCGCTATAAGGATAAAACGCAATTTAATCTCATGATGAGATTTATAATTCGAAAAGTATTCATAACGCGATTTAATCAGTAGTTTAAAATGGACTATACGTTTAATTTTAAAATATTATTTAACTACTACTTAGGCTACTGCTCCGAAACAATACGAAAAAGCTCATTTCCTACTACAAACGCGAAAGCCACTCGGAGATATTAAATCATTTTATTTGGCCGAATATGTCAATTACCGAATAACACTGGACTATTCGGCCCACCTCTATTAAATACAAAGAAAAATGCAAAATTATTTCATATAACATTTGATCAAACTTTAAAAGATACTGTTATTTGTAACATTCTTGCAGAAAATTGTTGCTATACTCTCAGTTGATAATTATAAATTGTGCATAGATGAATTACGAAATCAATCAATGTGTTAACGTTGCATTGTGTTTATAGGCCGAGGTGGCAATCACTACGGTACAAGGCAGATTTAGAGGTATAACTTATTTGTTATCTGTGATGTAGGCGAGTCGTGATAGACTATTGTGTTGGAGACTCGGATCAATGAAGTCATGTCACACATACGGAATAGAAAAAAAATACAATACGCTAAATAGGTAATACAAAAAGTTCTTAATATTAAAATTATATCTGGGATTTAAGGAATTAACACCGAATCTGATACCTTTAAACTAGAAATTCTTGTAGGAGGTTTCAGAGGCGATTCAATCGATTTAGCTAGATTTTATTTACCAAAATGTGATACGACCGGTATTCAGGCACTGAAAGATTTTTTCATACATTTCAGGTAATCTACACAAAAATTGTAATGAAGTTTATATGTAAAATTTTCTAATGAATCACTTCATTTATTAGTGAAAGTTCCATGAAAATCGTTCAAACGTTTTCGAGATAATTGCGATCAAACAAGCAAACGAGACGATGGCTTTACAAAACACCTTACATTGTCATGATACATAGTAGGTGCTAGAGTCTATTGTCTATAAAAGACACAAAATAATACCCTAACTATTTGAACAGCTCAACATTGGAAGTGTGGACAAGTAATATCTGACACTAAATAACAGTTTAGAATAACACACACTCATCTTTCGATACTAAACTGAGAGCGCGCCGCAAGACAATTTCAAATTGCCAAGCAATATTTCAAACCTGTAATTTAACTGGGATGGATTTATAAATATACGTAGGACCCTTGCACAGTGAAATAGTAACAATATTTATGGAAATCACATTGGATTTACACTTATTGAACACTTGTTATTACTGTACATGTTTACGGCGAAAGTTGCCGTTTAGCGATAAGCTATAGTGAATTTAAATCGGCATACTATATTAATATATGCTAAATGTAATAATAAATTAATCCTCTGGCTTTTGAAACTAATATTTAAATATAATATATCGAAATCGATACCAAACTAAATAAACTCTTTGTTATATATAGTTGACTCTTAAGTCTTAGTTTTACAAATAAGAAAAGACAGTGTTAATAAAAATCGCAAAAACAGCTTAGCAGTGAAATGAATCGAATTTGGCAGAAAAACATGATAGATTCTTACAAGAGGTTGAATGTATATACAAAAGCTAAATTCAAAAAGCTCATTGAAATTTATTATTTAGATTAGCAAATCTCTGCTCCAAAATTA